TTCTCTGTCCTGATCTAAATAAACCAAGCTGTTCCAAATTTTTCCTGCAAGACCATATTCTCCAAACTTCTTTTCCTCCTGCATTCCCTGGAACCTTTTCAGTTCTTTTACATTTTGTTTAAAATGTACTACCCTACACTGGGCACACTGCTTCAGCTGAGACATCATCAGCACAACATTTTTAGAATATTTATATTTATTACAACATCTTAATATGTAGAATATTTGTATTCAGCCTCTTTGATCTCTTGATGTTTATTTTTTCTTATAAATATTTGTTAAAGCTTAATGAATAATCTAATCTACTTTCAGAGCTAAATAATTTAAATATGTAAATCTACATATTTTATCCATTTTATCCATTTTATCCATATTTTATCTCTTTTATCCATTTATTGCCATAACATTTTGCCAAGCAAAATGTGGTTTTTTTTCAGATACAGAAGATTGAAGGATTGGATCTTATTTCCCATGGGCCCATAATTGGTTTGGGGCCATGCCAAATCACTGTTTTTCTACAGTGACAACCTAAAATGAGCATAGTTATACTCAAAGTGTAGATCCTGAGATGAAAGCCAAAAAATGTCCAACCTCCAGAGAGATTTCACCCACAGTGAGAGATTTCTAACAGGTTCAGACACAGCAGCACAGCTTCCATCACAAATCCCTTCACACTTCTGATATTGTCAAGCAAAAGAAAAACAAGAATTGAATTGATATTTGCTAGTCAGGAATAACCCAGAACATCTTCCTAGTTCTTTATAAAACAGTCCTATCACCAAAAACCTTTCAGGCTTTCTTTATCAAATGACCATTCTTTAAAAAAAAAAAAAAAAAAAAGAGTAAAAGGTGAGGAAGAGTCAATGAAGGACACAAAAACGTTTAAAGAAACTCATTCTGAGTCACACTGAAGATGCTCTGGGGATTTTCATGCACACACAAGGCTGTAAATTGATATGGAGTTCTGCCAGAAAGCAAAGTATTTAATATTTCCATTAGTTCCCTCTGCCATGGGAATAGAGTGAGCCAATCCGTGCAAAACCTGATTCTATACTTTCTAACCTGCTTTTTTCTAAAACAAAAAAATCAACCAAAAAACCCAAAAAAACATCCYAGGGAGATTTTTCATTTAAGGTTTCTAAGGCTGTGTATCATATTTACAAAAATGTTTACAATTAACAAATTCCAGTAATTTCTGATGATACGGTAAAAGCAGAAAATGATCAGAGAAAARTATTGATTTAATTTCTTAAATTAATAAAGGTAAATAATTTATTTTTCAGTARAGGAAACAGAATTTTCAACTACTGATAAACAGAGATGAAAGTCAAATTTCTTGTCTATAAAAATYATTGACTACAACAAGTGGAAGACTGAATATAGGGATTCCCCACAGAACTGCCCTTGATTTATAAAAGCTTAGCAATGGACATCTGCCACTGAAATGATTTGTCTGCACAGATTTATTTTTCAGATAAAGGTTCCTGAGAAAGCTTTGTTTTCCTTCCAGCAATCTCATGAGAGCATTATAGTAAGCAGAGTAWATTTTTTCTAATCTCTGCAAAAAACACTATTCCCCCTCAAAATCAACAAAGCATCAGGACCTGCTACTCTGCAAAGCATTTGYAAAGGCAGGAAAATCACATATATTGTTGTATTCCTGCCTTTAAAGGCTTTGCTTACAGAAAAACTTTCTAAAATTTTGTTTTAGAACAGAAACTGAAAATTACAGTGCAGCAATGTTCATTACAGAAAATGACCAATAGCATCTCTGTTGAAAGATAAAGTTTAAACTGAAATATAACTGCTTGCCAGATTTGTCTTTCCATTGATACCATGGAAAAAGCCAATCAAAATTCAGCTTCCTTATTCTCTTGTAATACAGGATCCAAACAAAATCCAGATCCCTCTTCTTGAACATCAAAGTAGCACATTTAGTGAYGCTACACATGGCTTATCTATCACTAACAATCAACAGAAAAACACGAGCGTTACCTGATAACAATCTACCTTTGCTGCCCAGGAGACAAGGACACACAGGCTTTAGTTCAGCATCCAGAAAGGATGGCTGCTTTCAGATCTGTGAACTTGGCCAAAAGGGGCACAGCAATAACAATCTTCAGAGAGTCTTGGTACATCCTGAGTTTATATTACCTGAAATTGGGTGAGTATTGCCCAGATCAAGGGGAAACAGGAGGCAGAACCAGGCACAGCAAGACACAGCAGGGAAGAAGGGGTAGGAATTAGACATCCATAATAAACAAAYCAACTGCAAACTTCACCCCTCTCTCCAGTGGAAGCTGTGGTTGCTCTCTCTCACTGATTGCAGAGAGATCCCCCAGTGTTTTAGGGCTGCGTACATTATATGCTCAACATTTTGCAAAGGTTGTCTTCCTCATTTCAAGATACACCATGTGAGAAAACGCTGTTAATATTTGGAAATATAGTCTACTGGAGGGAAAATAAACTAGTCAATACTCAGTGCTTAAAATAATAGCAATKTGTGTATATATATATACACACACACAAATGCATATGTGGTTGCAGCTTCAACCTTGCACAGCATTATTTGAAGATTTCCAAAGGACCCCACAGCTCATTGCTGCTTTATTCTGCAGTCAGGGATTTATTTTGTTGGCAGCAGAATTATTTAGCAAAATGCCCCCAGAATTTGATTGCTATTAGAGCACAAGAATCTTCTTCCTCCACAGATTGTGTTGCACTAATACCCAAACAATCCCAACAGCACAGCAGAAGYACAGAAGCAAAGAGCAGGTGCTCTAAGCCATTTATTATACATATCAGTACTAAATATGTTGGGATGCTGTTGTAATTCACCTGTCAAAGTCCTGGATTCTCTAAGAACAAGTGGTGAGGAAAGCCCAAGAATTAGATAAATAGAGGTAAAATACTCAACACCAGCAGAGAGCTACCACAGAAAACAAAAACAATATTCAGCCATTCCACACTCCAATTCTGTAGGGTGAGATGAATTRAGAACAATGGCAATGAATGTAAATGCCTGAATTGTGAATATGTCACTAACTCCAGTTTTCCTGTTCAGCCAAAGGGAAGGGGCAGCTCTTCCCYGTGTGCTCCAAAGCATTCTATGGAGTTCACCTCTCCCCACACCTTCCCTGCAAACCATCTTTCCCAAGCTGGGGCTCCTAACATGTGACTAGATTAATGTTAGGCTGCACAAATACACATCTCAACTTTCCTAAAGCTGAAAACATTAGCCTGTATACCAATATTAGATTTATGAATACAAAAGCAATATTCAAAGTGAACCAGAAACTCTGGAAAAACATAAAGTCGTGGTTTGCTACCAAAGAATGAAAAACGTTTTGAGGGATTTGCTAAACCGTACTGCTGAATATAATATTCTGTGGCTTATAATGGGGAGTAAAGATTAGGTAAATCACTGACTTGCCTGACAAGGAAAACATCTATTTTAGAGTGCCTCAAAAATTTGGTTGGTGTGTCATTTTGATGACATATTCAATTTCTCTTAGACCTTTGTATTAAAATGCAATTTTATAGATTGCATCATAAATTTTAAGGACTGAATGTGGCATTGACRTTTGTCTGAAGGTTCTTAATAATAATAATATGAGAGCAATACATGTGAGAAAAAATAGAAATAAAAAAGTCCAAGAAGTACAGAGCAGATGTATTTCCTCTATGTAGTACTGCAACAACAGCAGATTTCACAATTTGTGAAATACTTTTTTGCAATTCTACATTTTCAATAATTGGTGGCAACAGTAATAGAACCCCACCTGGTTTTCTCTGTATTTATATCTAATATAAACACCCAGAGAGGTCACAGCCTCTCCACTTAGGAACATTTAAGATCTGACTGGACACAGTTCTGGGCAATCAGCTCTAACTCAAAATTCTCTCAAGATCCTGTTCACTAGGATTGAACTAGATTATCTTAAGAGATCGGTTCCAGCCTCTGCAATTCATGTATAGAATTGGTCTGCACAAAAAGAGGCAAAGAAGGATTAAGGAAAATTGTACATAATTTCAGCTTTTCTAAACAGCCTTGAATAAAAAAAAACGGACTATTTCTCCTCATCTCCTTCAAATCCTAAATTTCCAATGACTGGGGGACTAAAGACTTTGCCTGTGTGTGATTTAATCCTTCATTCTTCTGACTAAGTGTCCAGAGCTTTTYACTAAGCCCTGCTATGGCCTTTTCCTGGTTCTGCTTGTTCAATGAAGAAAAGTTAAGAGGCCTTGACAATTTTCATCAGACATGTTCTTCAACATTCTTTAATAWTTTTTTTCTCCCTAAGAAGATTATGCCAGTTCTGTTATCTTTAATTAAACATAACAAGGGCCTAATTTTCATGTTTTCTGTGAGCAATGATGGCCTCTCTCAGCGAGAAGGGCTTTTAAGGTGCTGATATTGTACTGCAGCTTTTGGACTAAAATACCTCTACATGGAAGGGYATTTATGAGGGTCCACATAATTTGTCAACACTCTCAAAATCTCAAGAGAGCAATTTTTCAATTTTTAGACCCTAAAAAGAAGTGCCTAGGTGAGCAGTACCTTTAAATTTCTTTTTTCTTTTTTTTTTTTTACAAAATCATACTGATTAAATCATCACCTATTGCCAAGAAATGGAAATAAACATGTACACAGAGCAGACAAATCTTGTGCTGCACTTAGCCAGATGMCCATATATTTACTACTTGAAAGTCAAGATTCAAATAAAGGACCTGAAATAATTTAACTCATTACACASTACCAAAGAATACAAGACTGGAATGCTGAAATCTACCAACGTTTAGCAGAAATGTACTGCCCTGCACATGGGCATCATAAGAGACAGTTTCACCTTAACTTGCTTCAATTTAATAGTTGGATCCTGTTCTAAATTCAGATATTCTATGTTAGTCACCTTTGTCACCTGGAGGGATGCTGATCTTCCCGGAATCTCATGAAATTTTGAGACTTGGGTCTGGGGTCATTCTCCTATTTTTAGATCTTACTGAGCAGAAAAAAAAAAAATCCACCACCTGTTACTCTTCCTCTCTTTGTAACAGGGACAGTTTGAAGATGCTCAACATTTCAATGTAATCTTGACACAGAAGACATGGTCACAGAAAAAAATAAAGTAATTCTGAGCATAAGTGTGTTCTACTGTAAAGAAACCCCTGCCTGCAGTATTATAGTCACTTCCCTGCTCCAACTAAATTGAGCTCTGTATACACATAAATAAATATTATAATACTACATTTATTTATTTACAAAATTCCTGTAGAGATTTGCATTCATTTAAGTATATATATATATATATATATATAAATCAATATCTCAATTGCAAGAAGCAAGAGAGGTTTTGGAAACAAATTACATGGGCTTTTGCCAGGAAGCAAACTCATTCTGACAGGGAGCTGGTATTAGGAGGTACAGATGGTGAAACAGCAGCAGCACTCAATTCCCCRGTAGTAACAGTCTGCAGGATCACTGATTTCAGGGTTTTTTGCCTACTTTATACAGTTGAATCTTGGCTACTTGCAATAAGCCTTAGACTTTCATATGAAATGAGTTATAAGTGACGGGTTTCTAAAAAAAAAAAAACAAAAACAAAAACAAAGAAAACCCCAAGAACAACAAATAAATCCCACTACACACAACAGCAATGAAACAATCCTGAAACTAAACAAAAAACCAAAACCCAATCTATGGATTTTGCGGTAYGGGTTAGTTTTGTTCCTTTTCCCCCCTCTCATGGGCAGGAATAACTCAGGTTTCCATTTTATAAYAATGTTCTAGTTTCTTTCTGCCAGATTTTAAACTCTTGTAGTGATCTGTAATAAACAACATTCTGGCACGGCTTAATTTTCAATCAAATCCCTCCAGGGAACAGAGAGATTTAACGTGAAATGTGTATCCCATCCTGCTGCTTTCTGTAATCTATTCAGACCAAATGGGGATAAGGAATACTTACTTCACACAAATTAAAATTAGATGTTTTGGCCAAATTTKAACTCCAATGGAGTTACCCATAATCTTCCTTTAGTCTCCCAAGTCTGGCTAATAAAAACTTCAGACTTCTCCCATTTATCACTGCTCCAGTTTCTGCCTCCRAATCCATTTTGCTTAACACAGAATATTGTCAGCCTTATAAAAAAACCTAAAAAATGAACTAGATGATGGGTACTTTCTTAACAGTCTTATGAGAAAAAGTAGGACTGACAAGTCACATTCATAATCCTCAACTTAAGGAGAAGAAGATGAATTGATTGTCTTTGAGTGCTGTAGCTTGATTGAAGAAGCTTGATTGTCTTTGAGTGGCTGTAGCTGGCTGAGTGATACTTTGATGTAAAAAGGTTTGTACAGACCCAAAGAGGTTTCCCCCACAAAAAAAACCACAAAAAAAAACCACCTGAAAGCATGCAACCATACAAGAAGGAAAGGAAAAATTACTCAAAGCAAACTCTTAAAAATGCTTCAGACTGTAAACAAAATATCTACCTCACAGTTTTTAAAGTTTACAACAATAGAAATAAAAAAGCAGTGATGTGCTTCAAAATGTAGGTTCTCCTCTTATGTCTGATGGCATTCTGCTTTCACAGATACTATGGAAATCTACATGCTTTGGTATTAAAAACCTTTCAAGACCCTGTTTTATTTTAGACAGAAAGTATGGGACCCAGAGAATTCTGAATGTTCAATACTAAACAGGATTAATAGGGGAATGGAAGCAGTGCCTGWTTTTCTCTTTTACAATTACTAAAAAACAAACCCCAAAACCTGTTGACAGGGTATTAGAAGTGATTGTGTGTGATATCTTCTCAAAGTTAAAAACAAATTGCACATAACTGCTGAGGAAAGAATGAGTATTAACTACACACATTTTAGAGATGCTGGAAGACTGYATGTTGAATCTTTTGCTGACTCCAAACAATGGAGCGTTCTAGAAATRACATGTCAACCTTCTTCATTGTGCCGTGAATGCTCCCAATTCATTTTGCGCAATTTGCAAGGATCTGCATTGACATTCGTTTTTAAATACTGTTTTATGTTTGAACAGGAGTATGAAGYAAAAATTGCGATTTCTTGGCATGTTATAGAAGAGTTCAATAATTTCTGAAGAAAGTATCTTGTGGACTGGAGACAAAATCTGCTTTTGCATTGGCCATCTAAAATCTCATCAGTGGAAATATTCCATATTTGCAGAAACAGATTTGAGATTTCCCMTTTTTCTGGCACATTCTTGCTCTTTCATTATTGTATTCACTGCATTTTAAATATGAGAAAAATAGGGTGGTTCTTGCTTTGTGTGATAGGTATTTATTTTTTCCTGAGATTGGAGAGCTTGTTTTCTGGCCTAATAAATCATGAGACTTATCAAAATTCTTTCCTTCTTCAACGTCAGCAACCATTGGAAACTAGGGAAAAACTGGTCAGATATGCATCTGAACTTGAGTGAGGAACATCCAACAATTTTTAAATTAATGACTCTCATTTTTAAATCTGTGTGTTTTATCTCTATTTTGCCATTATCACACTTCACCTTTCAGTCTTTAGGTACCTTTATACTCTTGGCTGACAGACAGTAGAGCTTTGTTACTCAATTTCTGTGCTCTGAACAAATCACGTCTGATAATTTCAACAAAATGACCACATTGTATCCCCCATAAAACAATCCTGTTGTAGCCCAGGATTTTCAAACTTGAAGCCTGGGTGGAACATTTACACACCAGATAGTCCTTTCTTATATTTCCTTTTCCTTATCATAATATAATCTGATTTATGGTGATAGAGAATTGTGTCTACCAAAAAAGTTTTACTGATAATGGTTATTTCCATAAAGTCATACTCAGTATCTCAGGRAAGTTTGACAGTCAATTAATAAAGGATCAAGTTCTTGGGGAGAGGAAGCATTGAATGCTCTCTGTGCCCAGTCATTCAATTATATCTTATAGGTGCAACTTCATCCTTCCCTCTTTCTTCTTAAAAGATTGGATATCTGCATGAAATACCTGCTAACCCAAAAGAGAAAGTGAAGAGCTCATAAACTRCTTTAGAACTTACAAATAAACTACAACAATTGTACCTGCAACCACTGGAGATTTCCTGTCATCCAGAAGCTGAATGGCAGTACTGGCTGTCACCACATTGCTCTTGTTGGCAGTTTCTGCAGGGTGTATTAAGGGGAAAAAATTAAAACAATGTATTGCAAAATGAGGAAATTGAGGTGTTTTCCCCCCTCATTTGAAATAACAGTGTATGTGGACACACTGTTCAGAAAATTAAACAGCAAAAATTATGTTCTCCATATCTGCACAGAACACACTTCATTGCCATTTTAAATTCCCCARCATTCCATAAAACAAGCTTAAAACACTGAAATGAGTCAGGTTTTGCTTCCTCTGCTAAAAAAGAAAGCAAAGTTGACAACTGGTGGGGCTTCTCATCAACGTGAGCACTCACTCTGTTAGAGATAAAAAAAGTTAAATGTTAAAATGTAGTTCTACCTAATTTAATATTAAATGAAAAATTATACACTACATCTTGGGGTTTCACTTACAGCCCCATAATAGATGCACCTGGTCAAAGGACCAGTGAAGTAGCTGCTCATTTCAGTGCCTATTTCAGATTAATATTTGAGATTAACTGCAGAGCACAGTCAATGCTGACACACTTGGAATGCTTTCAGCATCATGAATGGCTCAGAATTTAGGGAATGACAAAATGATAGACCTGTGCTRAATGGGATTGAGTAGACAAAGCTCCCAGGTATTTGTTCAGCAGCTCTTCTGTACCAGAGTGGAAAGTGGTCAGCGTTAAAAATGTTCTCCTTATCTTCAGCTGTCAGGAAGTCTCTTGAGAAAAAGAGAAAGAAAACAATTGTCATTTGTTGCATGGCACACAATAGTTTCAAGCTTTGAAAGACAAGAAAAAACAAAATGCAATCTTTTACAAAAAAAAAATGGTTTGGGACAATTTTTCTAATACCACTTGTTCAACAAAAGAATTCAACTAAATTTAGTCAATAATTATTTATGACACAAAAAAACCCTTTTGTTCTGAAAGATATTAAAATTATTAAAGCCCAGTAACTCTAATTACCACTACAATTGTTTTTACTGATGCATACAAATAAAAATGCTTAGTCCAAAAACCTTTTCCTTTCAGCACAATGTAAGAGCTGTGAACTGCACAGGTGGAAAAGGCACTGGAGATTTGGTAACCTATTTCCACTGGCATTCACTCCTAAATAGTGGGGGGAAAAAGGGTGATTTTACAGCCTGTGTTCAAAATACCATGGAGGGGGTGGTAGCAGACAACTAGATACCTAATTCCTCAATAATTTCAGGGAATGCTAACAGGAGAATTTATGTCACGAGTGTCCACACTATTGTTCTGGTTTTCTGCCTGACAGGAACAAATTGTAGTGCTATTGATGTCACCTACTTGTACAATATTTGCCCTCAAATAAGCACCATAGGACTTTATATTCAATAAAATTAATTTATCATAAACATCAAACACAGCTTTTCTTTTACATGCATAATTCCTCCACTGGATTATATGTTCTCCAAACAAAATGGGAAACTCTTGTATGGTGAGGTCTCCTGATTACTCTTTCACTCAATCCAATTCTTTCAAGTGKKTTTTTTTCCACATCAAAAATATTTTCCACTATGCAAAATCCCTGAAAAAGCCTACAGGTATTTGTTTTCAGGTGGTGTAGGAAAAGGTGTAGCACACTCATAATTCTGCTCTGAAGAAGAGAGAGATGAGAGGCTGGGAGTGTGTGTGCAGGGAAAGCAAATTTATGGGCTACAGGTGTAAAATAGTTCATTGTTCCCAAAGTTCCAGTCCAAGAAAGAATCTGAAGGAACCTAGGAAAACTTTCTAAAGAGAGAGCAGATGGGCTTTACAAAAATAACCCCTTTTCCCATTTTTTTTCTTATCTGTGTGTCTCTTACTGGTTGGTCAGCTGCTCTGGGCCCACAAAGAGGTTGATCCGAGACAACCCCGTCCGTGTCCCCAGGAAGGCGACTTCCACYCCCTTGTCAGAGTTCCTGAAACAGCACAGAACACAACAAAGATAATGCCTCAGACAGTAAACAGACAAAGCTGKGTCACTCTCACAGAAAGCACAAGTGAACACATTTTTGAGGAAGATTATTTTAGGCATCATTCCCTTATTTATTGATTTATTTTTAACGGCTGTTTTTTAAGTTATAGTCTTCTGGGTTTTGAATAATGAGCAATGTAGAAATGCTATTTAGGCCAAGATTCCCTAAAAAAAAGCCAAACACAATAAATTTTGTAGGATTTCTAGGGAGGGATTACATGGAATAGCCATAGAATAAAAAGGTGTGGCATAGCTATATACCAGCTTTTAATAAGCACTGGCACACAGAAATTCTGAGATGGGCAGGGATTCCAGATMTTGCTCCCAATCCATTCAACATTTCTGTGTTATATTTGTGCTTCAAATCATAGATGTGACTATTGCTCAGGTAAGCAAACAGATTTAAAACAGGTAGCTCAGAGTCAAACTTAGCTGCCATCAGGGCAGTCTTTAGCCTCTAGAACTTGGGAAAAAAACCTGGCAGATATCTCAGACTGAACTCTGCTGCTGCACTGTTATCAGCACCAAGCTATTTTAAAATGTGTTCTTGTTTGCCTTCAAGAACTTCAGTCCCCAAAACCAGAGACCAGAGGYATTTCATTGTCTCAYRTTAATGAGACAGAATGAAACAAAGKCAGAAACTGAAAGGGGGCATCAAAAGTCTCCYACAGGAATCATTCCACAGCTGCCCTTGTGTTTACTGGAACTGTTATTTCATTGTGTAGGGGATTCAGATACCTTACATCCCCCAATGTCCGTAGTATATTTCAATGCAACAATTTTTTATCTTCTCAGAGAAGACTGGATAACTCTTTGTTTGCTTAATCAGATCTTACCATGATGCTTTTATTCATTCAATATGTGCTCTACAGCAATATATTTTTTCATTAAAATTGTTTTAAATGCTTGAAATTTAGCAAAATCTGGGGAAGATAATCTTCAGAACTGCCTTTCAACCACAGTATTTCATGCAAACTGCTAAACTTAACACMTATTTTTCCTAATATAGACAAAATYTTRYTCCTTAACASCTTAGTAWRTCATACATCAAACAATAAAGTAAAAGATATAAACTCTGAGAAGGACTGGCTATTATGCATATGATGGACACAGAGATCACTTACTCTGATTTATTCAGTGCTAGGCTGGTCCAATAAGCTTCAATTGGTGCACTCACAACTGCATCAAACAAAACTTCCTGGATCAATTCTTTATCACCTGTTACAGTATAACAAAATCAGTAAATGTATATGCACATAAAGATTTTTTTTGACGACTGAAGAGTAGGGTTTTGTTACATTTTACTAATTTTATCTGTGATGTGCTTTCACACATTTTGCCCTACGAAGCGTTTACTATGTAATTACATGGTTTTTACCACAATGCAGTTTTTCGTATATAATTTCATTGTATTACCAGCAATTGTAGGTTAAAAACCAAACAGTGATGCTCCACTTCATGCAACTTCTCCTTGTCTGTATTATCTAATGCTCACATCTGTATGTGCCATTAGGTTACAACAATTTGGTCTAGAAACAGTCACAAAAGCTCTGCATTTCTGAAAACAGATAGAACATGCACCTATTTATCCAAATTTTTTATTCTGCTTTGCAGTTCAGGAATGCTAATTACCTAAAACTCCTCCCTAAAATACTYGTGAAATATCTGGTATATTCTTCAGAGGCGTGATCCAAGGATTGATTCMGATCAGTGCTGTTCAATTTATAAAACCTGATGGAGCAATAATTTTGAATAGTATAGCTACGCCATCTGAACAGAAACTTAAAAGTTTGGTACAGGCACAGAGTTTACTGTAAAAGACAGAAATTTGTATCATCAATATCTCTACTGATACCCCAGAAAAAGCTCAGAATCAAATGAAATTGCAAAATAACATCAGCTAAGCACAATCCCATCTCAAATTATCACAGATTTAATGAAGTAGCTTTGCATTTTGAAGAGGTTTAACGTGACAGTTTTTAGCTGGGATAAAGCCYACAAATCCATGTTTGACAGAATACTTGCATTGGAGCAGGGGCTCTTTTCCCGTGAGGTAGCGTTTGATCGCCTCYAACTGAGTCATCTGCCGGTGCTCGGGGTGTAAGTCCGTGTTGCAATAGGACCTGGGAACAGTCAAAAACAATAAAATATTTGATGTACAGGCACSATCTTGCTTTGTCTTTGAATGAAAAGAGTTGGGCTCTGCAAGCACAAACAGTGTGAAACCAAAGAGGGTAACAGACACTAATTTCATGCTTTATTTAAGGCTTACCATTCATCTGCTAAAGATACATCAGGGTGCTCTAAATCATGTAAACCTGGAAGAGGAATAATAATGGGTTATTTAGGGAGAMGTCTGGGCAACAGATGGTTATTTGCATAGACTTCATAACATAAACCCTTCTTGGAAAGTGCATTATTACCATAACGAAATAAATCACAGTAAACTATGTCCAAATACACTTCAGGGTCTAACAAACTGGCAAAACTACTTAAAACAGATCTAAAAMTGAAAAGGTAAGGAAAAAAAAATTGTGGTGATGTGTTTAACTCATATGGATTACTCACACAATAAATTAAAAATTTAGAAGAAAATCTGAGCAAAGACAAATGCAAAATGGCAGCAGACTCCTGTTCACTCTCCCTCGTTCTCTTTGGCCAGTAAAGTTCTTTATGCTAAAACACAAAGTTCTCATTTCATGAGAGTTGTACCCCTTCTCTTATAAAGAAAAGAATYGTTAAGAACAATTCACTCAAAACCTAAGCCCACAGCCCATGAACACAAACAGCAATTTATGGGATCATTCAGAAAAGGGTTTTTGTGCTACCAGGTCACACAAATGCTTGTAAATAAAAACTGTATCATTAGTTATATAGCACAGTAAAAATGGACTTTGGCAATTTCAAAAAGYCTTAAAACACGTATCAATAGACAATAAGCAAACAGGGTTCAGAAGGCAGCATCTGGGTTTAACCCCCCCAGAGCACACAATAAACAATGACAGAGCAACAGTGGCTGAGGAAGGCAGGGAGGCCAAAACTGGAGCTGGAACTGCGGTCCCTGGGGAGGACAGTGAGGGGAGTGAAAAMCAGTGAAGGTAAGAGTGGGAGAGAAGGAAGTGTCAGTCATGAAAATATTGACATTTYTGGGGGTGCATCTGGGGCTCAGGCTGGCTGAGGTGTAAGAACATCAGTGAGATGTTGGGAGCAGCCTGCAGAGTGAGCAGCTCCAGTCTCCTGCTGTGCCTTCTCTGCAGTAGCTGTGCAAGYACTCAAACCTCAAGGCACTTCTTTTTATATCTCCTGAGTACAAGAACATATTCATGTCCCAAAATACAGCCAAGGAACAAAGACTTGAAGAAATTAACTGTCTTGTTTAGCATCACTGACAAAACAAGAAGAACTAGAAATAGAGACTTCAGCTTAAAATCGGAAARCATTCCTGTATTGAAACATTTTTTGCTCAGCAACTTCTAAAATTTTCAACCCTCTGAAATGCTCCCACTGTTCCTTCATCTTCTGAAGTCTCGTTGTCTAACAAATTTATCACCAAAAATGGTTGATTCCTCCACTCATTTAATTTGGGGCTTATCAAAAAGCAAACCCAAAGAGCACTCCTTTCCCTGAGTACCTCTACTGCTACTATAAACATGTAAATCCTTGTAGATCATGTACAAAACAGTTACAGCTCTGAAAGTTTTCACAGTATATAGTCTGTGAACATAAATAGCTATTACAGTGCTCTTAGTGTTTACTTCATTCAGAAAACACCACAAATAATTAACACTGGGTCCTGAGTGATTCTCTGGAACATCGAGAGGGCAGGATAGAAGATGATTCCATCTAAAGGAGATTCACAGTTTGATTATGCTTAATGCAAATCAGGGCAAAAATCATGTGAAGGAAAAGATCTTTAAAGAAAAAAAAAAAAGTCTAATTTCCTTATGGAATCTGCAGGSAAATGTACAAGCTTTAGGAACTACCAAATCAACAATGAAACTACTGTGTAAGCAACATGAGAAGGTAGATATCTTACCTTCTTCCACAGTTACGTTCCCYCTGAAGAAGTATTTTCCATGTCCTCTAGAGAGAGCCACACCTAAACTGTGCAAAGAAATAAAGCAGACCTTGAAATCTGTGAGACAAACAACGGCAGACATTCAGAGCTATTTCCATTTTTAACATTTCCAGCTCGTGTACTATGATTAACTTAAAGCTGCTTGTTTCCAAACCCTCACCAATTATATTTATTGTTCAATTAGTTGCTTCAATGATGTCTCAGTTCTGATGTGCCTGCAACAATTGGYTGTATTTATGTGTGCTTGGAGGTGCAGGAACCATTATTCCCTGGCAAACTAATAAATGAGCCCCTCTAAGCTCACTGCTGTTCACCCAGCATGAGATTTCTTCAGCTGAGCCTTGAACATGCCYATGGCCTTACAATGAAGGAGACGATTTTTTGTAAATCAGACTAAGCTGTTGAGAAATTACACAAGTGTGGGAATTGATGGAGCTACTGAGAGGAAAAGAATTTCCAAYGTGACAACAGCATCATGACTCCTCCTGGACTCATTTTTCTGTGTTTCATATTTTGAGGTAGTATAGTTCTCTGGTGTTGACTGCAGTTTCACAAATTCTCAACAGTGCTACACTGGGTTTCGGTCTGGTTTTCACTCTCCCATTGAAAACATCCAAGTTAAATGGCCAAGTTGCCATTGAACACAAACACAGAATACCTTCTGGMACTCATTCATTCCTTCATTGAAGGGGAATAGCTTGGGCTAGGAACCTGTCAGTAATCAGCAAGGCTGAAAATGCAYGGGCTCCAAATCCAAGAGCACAGAATCTGCAATCAACAGCTCAGTCTGGGAATGGTCTGAACACAAAGCATCTTTGTCACTATAGAGAATATTTCAATAAACAATGTCCCTGCAATTATCCCAAATCTTCACAACAACACATCAAAACTAGAGACATACCACATTGAAAAAACAGCACAAATTTCCTACTGTATTTGTGTCCTTAGCACCATCATACCACGTTGAAAAAACAGCACAAATTTCCTACTGTATTTGTGTCCTTAGCACCATAACTCACACTGCATGCAAGTGTGCAGCCCCATTTCTGTTTACTTAATAGGACAAGAGTGACAGTGCCAAAGAAAAACAAACAAACAAAAGAAAAACAAWCAGCAACCACAAAAAACTCYACAAAAGAAAAAMCARASAAAAACCCCACTGAGTATTGCCACCCATGAGTAAATTCCAACATGCATTACAGGTCAGAGAAATGTGCCTATAGTTTCTCTGTGTGGTAATGGAGCTCAAGTTATGTGAAACTGTTCCATTCAAGAAAATTTCAGTTGAGTATCATAACTGCCAAACTCCTTTCTTAAGTGGAAGGTACAATTACTGCCCTTTTGTTAGTGGATTATTTCTAGTTCAAATATGAGCATTTTTAAAGTGACTACCTGTTTTCCTTTCTTTTTTTGCTCCTAACATGCATGCCAAAATTACCAACTTACTCAGTTTTATGTCTAGAAATACACTGAAGGTAGTTTAGAGAAAGAAAACATCCCAACCTCAAATTGGAAGTGAAATACTATCTCATTTAACATTACATTCTTGTTGTGGAAAAAAAAATAATAAAATGGGGCTCAAGATGTAGTTACTTAAATGGATTATAATATTTATAGCTCTCCAAGTACTTGCAAAAGCCTTTCGTTCAATGCAAACCTCAACTGAATATTTTTTCAATGAAACGTAAGCCATGACAAACACTGCGAGTTTGCCTGTGTGAGCTTGCACAAACTTTCCATCCCTGGAAAAGCTGAAAGGAATGCTGGTAGGYTCCTTTTCCTTGCTATTTTCAGCATTGTCCAGGGATATTTCATTGTCAGCTTTTAGCTGATGAGCTTTTAATGAGTTCCCAAGCTCTGTATAAGCACAAACCCGACGAGGAGGATGAAATGTCCATTTATTATGGCCGGCTCTACCTGAATGGGGTACCCTTGATGTCGGTGTAATAGTAGTCATTTGTCATCACCAGCACCCGCTTCTACAGTCAGAACAAGAAAGKCAGAAGGGGAGAGGGGAAGAAGTTAGTTTTCTGTAAGAAATGTATTAAAGATCAAGCGGTTAGTCATTGAAAAAATTAGAAGTAATGTTTACATTTAGTGAGTGAAAAAAAAATATACTGCAGGGAACCATATTTATAGCAACATTAAAAATTGTTGAAAAAAATATCTGCTTGCTTTATATTTAGTTGGAATAATATTTTAGACATTGTACCCCTTTGTCCACCGTCTTCTTCACTTCCATGGAGAATTTTCCCGTTTTCCGGTTCACCATTGCATTTCGGAGCTGAAATGAAGGAAATGTGTGTGAATACCTTTATTTGCATTTTCTGTAATCCTTTTAACTCTGAGCTCTCCAGTACACTCATTTGGCATAGGCAGTACTGAATTTTCTTTATTTCTCCATTTTCAATAATTTCACTGCACGCTGAAGAGCCCACTTAACAGATTTTATTAGTGACAGCACAGGCACATYGCTAAGGTACAAAACAGTTTTTTGTGTAGTAATCTGGATTTTATTTGGGATGAACAGTGTGACTACGATTCTGCAATTACTGCCTGGGAAGGCAAGGACTAAATTTAGCTGGTTAGACCAGGCCCTGTTAAATACATTAACAATAACATAGATAATAAGGAAGCAAAAAAAGARGAAACCCCACTGACCCCACACTATTTCTTCTGCTTAAGAATCTACATTGGGCTGCATCCTTAACCAGCACCAGAAACTTCATCCTAACTGCATCAAGAATGACCACTAGCCCACAAAAACCAGGCTGACAGCCCATTTGATCACTGCTGTGATTCAGAGGGAACACACAGCTACAGTGCTCAGCAATTCCCTCTGGCTGTCCATTGCCAGGCACCCCTTGCAAGGGAATGAATTTTAGCCYTGTAATGGAAGCCCAAGGTCAGTCACAGCTTTAACAGCTGGCCTGGACCTCTTCCTCTCAAAGCCTCCCAAAATACATTTTAAATCYCCTTCAGAAACATGTTTCATTGTTTTATAAGCCAAAATTTCAGAGAATCTCGAGAAAACAAAACAAATGGAAAAGAGTTTGTGCACAATGATTTATCTGCTGCTCTGCTAGTTAAATCTGTGAGGTTTTAGATCACAACAAACACTGTTTTCATGTAATTTTTTCTTCTATATGAGCTGCAGGCTCCCAAACCTGGGAGCYGCCCTGGCCCTGGCCCATCATCTCTGGAAACTCTTCCTTTAGCACACCTTGCTGCTCCCTAGGGAAGAAGAGCCATCCTCCCCAAGGACAMAGAACCTCTCCCTCAGGTGAATGTRCCATGATGATGAAAAGAGTAAAAAAAAAMCATCATCCACCTGGTCTACAGGCAAAATGACCAATGGTATCCCTAAGGATGGGGACAGCCCATCCTGGCACAGCAGGACTGAGGGCAGGGTCTCTGGGCTGAAACAAGAATTTGACCATTTATCAGTTTAGGGAAGAAATAAAAAAGTTGCTATTTAACAGTTACACAATTTATAAATGGAAATATTTCATTTGAAGCCTCTTWAATTTACTAATGGAAGAGGTGAGTTATTTTGCTTGCTGTGGGAAAAATCACCTATAGACCTTTTGGAGCTGTAATTTTCATTAAAATTTGAAAATCCTACTATCACTAAGCAATGCAGCATTTAAAATGCAGGAAAATATTGACAAATTGAGCATTTTTATGCTTCTTCTATTGCTTATCTATCTGAACACAGTTTTGGACATCATGTTCTTGCTGAATTAATATCTCCTGTTCTACAGTACCTCATGCCAGATTGAGCAATTTCATTGAGTTTTAATGAGAAATTGTGAAGACAGACATTTCCATGCACTCTGCAGGCTTTCTGAGTTTAGTATGGAGGGAGAAGAGAATGACAAACTTGCCAGTGAAATATCTGGTTTTATTCTCACGAACAAGTTGAACATGGCTGACTTATCAAAAACTGCAAACTTTGCAGCTCTTTAAATTTAATTCTAGGGCATCTAGATTTGAATTAACAGTCGTACTCTTCTGTCAGTGAGTGTAAAAGAATAATTTTTAGCTGGAGGCATATATAAAATAAAGCATATATTTTACTGTAGTTTTTTCTTTTTTTAACAATACATAATAGGCAATTCTGGAAATAGTTTCCTATTTTAAGTTTTGTGGTTTTGGACTTGGAGAGCTGGTCTTAATTAACCACCTACTTTCTAACATTTACAGAACAGTTCCATTTATCTTTAACATGGTTTTCATTTTTCTCCTATTGGTGCCTGCAGTTGTCTAAGACCCATTCCTCCCACAAGCCTCAGGCAAGTCATAGATTTACYAGAAGGATCCCCAAACTCTCAGTAGTGTTTAAGATCAAGTCTGCATGTGGGATTTAGAGTTTTACTCTTTTTTTTTTCTTTTTTTTTGCTTGCTGTGATTGCATTTCTTGGCTTTGTAATCCGGTTTCTCAGCTCTTCTGCAGTTTCATCTCCCTCCTTAAATGCATAAAATAAGTACTGCTTCAGTTGGCTTCAAGCCCCAAAACATTCATTCATGGTCTTATTTATTTGGAAAAAAAATATTTCATTCAGCTAGAAATTATGACAGAAGAATTTTAAGTGAGTTAATGAGAAAAAGGTTTCTATCCAAACTGAAACTTCTCCTCTTTGGTACTGGGTRTTTGCAGACCTTGCTGGAAGACACTGTTAACTTAATAAACTCATGCCAAAATTTTTGTTCCTAATAGAATGAATTAACAGCAAGATAGCAAGTATTGTTAACCTGGAAAATGAGCTGATATATTTATGACAACACTATTTCATGGTGAAAAAAAGTCTAACCTCACTCGGCCACCTTCTCCTCACTGGATCACTGCAGAAAAGCCATGTCTTCACCTTTCAGAGTAACAAGCATTATTGCTCCTTCAACAAAATATCTTTCAATCAATTCCTAGCAGCTCGGTTTCACTGCTGTAGTATGAGATCATTCTATATTCATTCAAAACTATGTAACCATTAAATTAATGTGGCAAAAAGTGAGAAAATGTTTTAATCAGCTTCCACAGAAATGTTTAATGGGAGAAAAATATACYAGTAGTAGTCTATGTTATTAAAAGCAGCTATATGAATACATTAATTCTTTCCCTCTGCAGTTGAATAAACAATGCTTTACTACCCAAGCTTGGAAAAAATCAGGAACATCAAATCCAAGGACTTGGGTGAAGCAGAGCCACATGTAGCTTGTTTCTGTGGTACAATTAAAAATTCATTTTTAAGAAACATGTTTTATAGGTGAAAGGCAAAGATTCAGATGACATGTATGTATATATTTTTATCAAACTGTGAAATAAAAATTTTGCAGCCTTCATACAGACAAAACTCAATTTTTGTTAGAAATTTTCAGAAAAAATGATGGAGTTTAAGGGTCTCAGTCAAAGGCAATAGTTAGGGAGAGCTGAATCTGGATTTTCGTGTGTATTCAGATAGAATCTCAATTATAAATAAAATTGGATTTTCAATGCCACAGAAATAGCTCAACTTCTACTAAGATATGATTAAAATGACAGATTAAAACTGTGAAAATTAAGCAGAGGAAGAAATGCAAGATAAAAAGGGAAAAAAAGAAAACAAACCAAAGAGAAATAGCAAGAAGAAAAATCATAAAGGTTTAATGAAGGGCAATCATGAAAGTTTAAAATCTGTGTATAACTACAGCAATAACATTTGAAAGCACAGAGGAAATTTTAAAAGGTCATTAGCAGAGAAACTGGTTGARCAATACATTATCAAAAATAAGAGAAAAAGCAGGGTATCAAACATGAAGCCAATGAGATTTCCAAGATTGCAGAAGGCTGCTACAATATACGAAAATCTTACGAGGAAACCTTGAATAGCGCGTGCATAGAAAATGACACAAAGCTATAAAAACGTTGGAAAAGTTTGTGTGTGCACTCCAACACAAAACTTTACCTTGGGAAGTCAAGTGGCCTCTGAGGAGAGGCCGAGGACAATCTATCACCTGGTGAAACAGACTCTGCTAAAACATAGATGAACTGTTTCACTATTCACAAAGGGGGTGGAGAGAGCGAGGAATGCAGGAGATATATTTTGTAAGGGAGAAAGAAAATATAGACTTATGTCAGAACAGGGATCAAGAAATTAGGACATCTGAAGAATGACAAGACCCCGGGGGCTGCCGTACGTGATCCATCCCAGATTTCGGAAGGACATGACAAAGTAAATATGGGAACCTTCAGTGGATGTATTGAAACCTCTCTGGAAAACAGAGGAACGRGGGACTGGAGAGAAGCTAACACAGGACTGATATTTGAGAAGGGACTGAGGAGACATCTATGAAAAATACAGACATGCAGTCGTGACTTTGGCAGGAGGGACCTTCTGGGAAAAACTAAATTACGGGACAGAAAGGAGAACAACTGGAAAGTTACGATTTAATTAAGGACAGTCAGCACAGATTCACACAAAASGAATCGTGCCTAACAAATCAGATTTATTGAGGAAGTGACAGAAAGACCAGGCAAAGGTTAAGCCATGGACATAAGGAAAGCTTTTGATACACTACTRCAGAAAAGGCTGAGCCTGAAAGGTAAGAAAGAATGAGATAAAGAGTAAACTATGGAGTAGATGGAGCACTGAAAAATGAGATTAAAGGGAAGCATTGTGTGATAGATACAGAGTTCACGCTGCTGCAGCTACCCATGTGTCTGAAATCAGTGAAACTCTGCTCTACACACAGGTCAAAGAACCCAATTTTGTTTATCAATCTTATGTCTTTAAATGCTGTACATTAAGTAAAACAGCTCTCACTACTTCCATTAAGGAAAGAAGGACCTCATGAAAAGAAGTTTAATAACTCATTTCTGAGTTTCAGCAGTTGTCTGGGGCAGCCCTAAGGAGACATTCTATTCCTGTTCCTAGTGCTGTGTTTGCTGTCCAGCAAAAATTCACAATRGGATGCATGGAGACTGCAAGGGTGATGAGTTTTACCAAAAATATGAAGAGTCTGTGTTTGTGGTATATGCATATGTGAGCAAGAAACAACACAAAACAGTTATAAATTTCTGGATGAAATAAAAGCATCTATTGTCCTTCCCTCCCTGGGAGCAGTCAGGTGGCCTCTCCAGGTTCTCTCCAATGACTTCTTAAACAGGTTCCAGGTACAGCAGTGGGATGCAACAATGTCTTCTGACAGGGTTTTCTTACCACATCATCTCTGTCTTCCCACTCCACCTCAGAAAGGTCCACACTGCTGTAGTTGGGCTTTCTTCGTTTCTTCCCCTCTTCATACTGGTATAAAAAAAAGGGTGAAATATTTAGCACATCCTGTTTTATTTGCACAACAATTTTTGTACCAGAAGATTAAAAAAAATTTGATGAATGCATGCTGATGGTGTGCAATACACTTWGGATCAGGTAGCTTAATTCAAACAAAGTGCACCAGACTGCTGCAAAAATGCTCCCTGYAAACTAAAATCCTCCATCTCATGATTATTTGCATGATCTCTTGCCATGATGCAGAGCTTTTCTTGGTGGACACACAGCATGGCCAAACTCAGCGGTTGTGCCTTCTTCTCTCCATATGGAAAATATGTGAGACCTTGGATCTTGCAGTTTATGTTAAATATCTCCACTTGGCTCTTTTAGCTGAACAGGAAGTTATATTTACTGTAATCTTATCAACAAAATGTTTACCCATTTCACTTTAAACAAGATAAGATGCAAGTCTTGGGAAGCATGGTGTTAACATTTGCTGATATTCCATTTTATCTGCAGCTTGGTGGGGAAAAGTAACACAGTAATAATGATAATGGAGGGGGGTTTATCACTGCTCACTGTTACGCTGTAAATTGCACGTTTAAAATAAACATTCTCATGACAAATTAATTTGGCACSGAGGTGTTTATAACATGGGAAACTCTGCCCTCTGCTGAACGTTCCAAATCACCACACAAACCTGCCTCAGCGGAAGAAAGATTTAGGAAGACTTCTGAATAAAGATCCTGACTGCTTAGGTAAAATTAGGAGACTCCTACTGAAAAAAAGTAAAATCGAGAGAGGATGGGCATAATGTGAAATCTTTTATCTTCTAAGAGAAACCACAAGTCTTCTTATGAAGTATGACAGGAGACACTGGGATGCTGTGAAATATCCCCAAATTGGTTTTCTGACTCCTCAGCAGCATCCCTTTAGGATACAAAATGTACCTGCAAGGCAGAATATATGGCTGATCCTCCTCCCTCAGGGCAGGACCAGCTTCACCATAAACCAAACCTGTCAGTGCTTGAGACGAGCAATTCATCACCTCAGCCAGTGGTGCAGGACTCTCAATCACCTTCTGCAGATCACAGACAGACCAAGGGAAAGCCTTGCTCTCTGAGCACTAAGAAGGTAATTCCCATCCTGGCTTTTTCATCTCTGAATAAAAAATTCTCATATAAAAGCCACAGATGTTTTTGTAGACCATGATACTTAAAAAACAGGAACAAGAAAAATCTTCCTGAATAGCAATTTTTTTTTTTTTTTAAATTGGCTACAGCATCATAATCACAGAGATTTTGAGATAGTCCTAGCACTGTAAAATTTCTTCTAGCACAGGTTTCACTGACCATCGTTAATTTTTGCCCATAAAAAATTGGATACTCCAACTTTTTTCTACAGACAGCTCTTTTAGGAAATTCTGTGGGATAATATCCTGAGTCAATTCTCACTCTTTCGAACAAAAAATCCTAGCAACTCTGTTGGTGTAAGTTGTGAGAAGTGTTGCAGATGCAATTGAAAAGTATTTTCATGTGTTTTTCTTGCCCTCTGCCAAAATCCTCTATTCTTGTAAYAAGGTTGTCTCCTTCTCATCTACTGCTATTCAACAGATGGGGGGAGATGTAAAGAWCTTCTGCTTTCAGCACACATCACACACCAGACTTTGAATTCAGGCAGCTCACTTCCACAATTAATTCTTACCCCATGACAGCCCTGACAGCCAGAGAGATAACTATACCCAAATACTGAAGCATAAAAATTGCAGCAAATATAATTAAATCTCACAAGAATAACATATGAGAGGATAGAATCCCCTTCATTACCAGGGCTTGATTTTCGTAGCTGTGTTTTGCAAGCCTTTCATTAGGGCTGCAGCTATATCAATATTATCTTTAATCTTTACAGGGAGGAACGACATCTATTCTCTGTGGCTGCACCAATTAACCAAACAAATCTTTGATCTGATTCAGTCATTCYAGCACAGAAATGGTTACAGTCAAGCTCTCGGACAGTGAGAGCTGAGCAATGTTACAGAGACATTAGCTGGGATCATYTGAGTAGAGCAAACAGCTCCTGTACTGATTCCAACATTTAATTACATCCTCCCTTGCAGATGTTGAAGAGCTTCTGGGCTATACTGTGTTCTCAGACATGTGTAAATCCCTGCTTAGGCCAAGAGGAGTTGATCTTGTGTGTCTGACAGCAGAAGTAGGCTAAAAAACCTAAGGTAAGCCATTTGTATCATACAGAWTATGGGGTTTGTATTGATTTAAATCATACAGTTTCCACACCTTGCACTCAGAGAGCAAAAACCAAAACCCAAAAGCAAACAAATGAAGATCTGGATAAAACATCCAAAGTTCTACCGGAAAGAATCAGAAGCATTCATGTCTTAAACATTCATAAAAGATACAAAGCCAAAATCCCGATGGTCAAGCAAGAGTTAGGCTCTATAAATATTCAAAGGAACTGAAAGTGCCCTAAATTGCATTTAGGACAGGAACAAATAAGGAATTGAGCAATTGCACTTTAGGGCCTACTGTTTAGTTCCCTACAGACGAATTCAATAAGTAAAGAACAGATTAATGTTATAGTTCAGAAAGGGACAGCAGAGAAAACAAAACCAACTTGCAGGAAGGATGGGATACRACATTTATTTCTATGTAAACTTCATGAAGATATCACCTTATTCCTAGCAGTAAATTTACATTATGCTTGCGCAATCAGGGTATCAAACATCAAGCAATTAGATCAAATATAAAATACTTCATAACAGTAATGTTAAAATGTCCATTCTTCTCTARCTTCTTCCTGGTTTTATTGCTTAACTAATTTCTTAGTAAAAGTTATTCRTGGACACTGAAGCAATTCCCCAGTTTTTAAAAAAACCATTCACCTATATCTTCTTTTCTGGTAGCAAGCCTAATCTAACCTTTTATCTCTGAGGCTCCTGGGTAAAGTGTAAAATRCTGATTGAAGCCTGAAGCCAAACCCATCTGCAAAATTACTATAAAGCATTGAAAAAAATCATTAAGAGACCCATTGGGAAAGATGGACACTAGGAATTATACCAAATTACTCTGATTTAAGTACAGGAGAAAAAGAGCTAGATTTAAATAAAATGCACACTGTTAATCTTTGGCTACTATAAAATATGTGATATTATACAGCAGTTAACCCCTGGGAKAGAAAAAAAGATACTGAAAAGTGTGAAATATATGGACAGAGGAAACTTTTGGTCTGCTCCAAACTACAGGATGGTTCTAACATTTTGTTGCTTGTGAGAAAAACACATGATTTGGTTTTTTTCATCAGAATGAGTTTTATCTTACTCAGTATCTTTTGTTTGAGACTGGGCCAAACTCTCAAAGCAGTGAGTGATTCAAACAACATGTGATGTGTGCTGCTTAAAGACTGAACCCCATTTTTCACCACCCTGCACACAACCATTTACATGTGCAATTATTAAATGCTTTGCTTTGATTTTTTGATTTTTTTTTTTTTTTTTAAACACAAGCAGTCCCAAACCATCTGCATTGAATGTGACCAGCCATGTGTTTATGGAGTCAGAGTGCAGCAATTTATGCAGGACAGAGYGAACCACGTCTTAACAGCTGCAATCTTGGGTCTAAGGTGATTGGAATTTCTCAGGCGTGCTCCATCTGGGAAATGGGGAGGTAGCAGAGAGCAAGTTGCTGTGATAGCAGCCTTRGAAGCATCACTAGATTTTAGTGACCTTTCCCAGMCACAATGTGGAATTAWCTGTGAGAAAAATATTCTAGTAAGGAAGTACCTACAAAAAAMCAACCAAAATCTAGAGAGGTAAAATAATTTGAAGGAAKAGGTCTCCTTTGCTAAGCTACTAAYGTGTACAAAAGTAAGGAATGAGATGCTGAAAAAACTCCCCCAATTTTAAAAGTTTCTTCTTTTTGAACCAGCACTTCAAAATTTCTATAAATCTGTATCAATCTCATCAGGCTTTGAGAATGGCCCCTTTTTCTTTTGTTTGGAGGATACAAATGAACACATGTGAGTCTGTTTTACGGAGTCTGAATTCTACATAACAAAATACACAAAATAATTGTCTCTATAACTGTAACTTGCATTAAAACATCCTGCAAAGGTATTCCTATCTATGAAGTTTGATAGGAAAGCTTGAATGAACGAATCTCAGAGGAGAAGTATAATTAACTAAAATTACACACTTTTCCACACAGTTTTAAATAAACAGAGACTGTATACACTGTCTTTATTSCATTTCCCTGATCTGGGCAGTTTCTCAGCTCCCTCCCTTCTCTAAGGCTCTGCACACTGAAGTCTCCACGTATTTATTGTCTGGGATAGGTTTGTCATGCAAAGCCTGCAGCTTTTGGGGTGGAACTGCTTTGGACCTGACTTCCCAYGGCCACTGCAACATCCAAAACCTTCGCCAGCCCTCCCAGCACAATCTGCTTTTCTGTCCCAGTGCAGGGACTGTGCAAGGGAAAAGTGGCATTTAAAATCAAACCAACCAACCAACAAAAAACCCAACAATAATAGTGAAAAATCCCCATCACTGCTTCACCTGTTTATAACCTGGTAAAATTACATCAACCCCAGTGACTGAGCTTTCATTCACCAGGTGCTACTTAGCTCCAGAACATTCTGCCTGGGGATATGTGTGAAGCAGCATCTTAATCTACATCACTACTGCTTGGCCTTTAAACGCTTTATTTGATTTGAAATACTTTTCTTCCTSCTCAAATGATCCTGTTTGTCATTTGTGATACTTTTATTTTGTGGTTTGCATCCAGTTTGCARCCTCAAATGTTCTCTTATTGATCTGCAGTTAGCCTTGAGTCTGTAGAACACCAATAGGTGTGCAGTCAAAAACCAAAGTTTCTTTCTATGTATAGAAACCTCCTTAGTTTAATATTTAAAAAAGGTAAAACCTTGATTTTCTTAGGAMAACAGGAAAAACAATTTCCCTTTCCAAAGTCAGATTTTCATGACCGACCTAYTAAGATGTTAATCCAGAAGTTCCTAGGTTA